GAAAGGGCCCGGCGAGGGCGTCGACCCGCGTCGCGTGCTGGTGGATCTCCTCCCCACTACCTACCTGTCCAACGGCACCACCATCCGGGAGTTGGTGCGGTCCGGGATGGCGCGATCGATGGAGTTCCAGACCCTCTCCGATTTCGTCCTCCTGCAGCCCTCGGTGAGGCAGGCGAAGGAGGGGGGAGGGGTGTCGTCAGAAAATGGCATCGCGGTGGACAGCGAGGCAGCGGATTTTGAAGCCAACCGATTTCCTCTTACGCGCAGCGCGATATTCTCTACGGGCGCCCTTGGGCTGATCGAAAAGCGGCGTGTCATGAAGTTTCTCAAAGATGTGGCGCCGCCGCTCGCCGAGCAGCTCCACGCTCAGGGTGCGAGTCCCGCCGACGACGTGCGCATGCAACAGGCTGCCGCCATGGAGGCCGCACGTAAAGCAACCGAGCAGTTCGCAAAGGAAGCGGCGAGCCACCCGGGAATCACCCTTAGCGCCCTTTTGGAGAAAAAGTACGGGCTGAGCCCGAAGGCCCTCGAAATCGTGACGCTGATGGGGGAGATCGATCTCGACAACAATACACCCGCTGATCACGATAAAACAGCCTCTGCCCTTCTGCGGTCCGTGGAGTTATTCCGTCAGTTCGTCACCTCTATCGGGCTCTATGGTGGATCTACACCGTTTCTTCAGCCGATGTTCGGCGCCAGCGAGATGGTGCAGAATTTTTGCCGAACCTCTGCAGTGTGGGGCGGCGTCTTTGTTTTGCACCGCAGCCTCCGCAACATCGGCGTGAACCATGAAAAGGAGCGACAGTATGCCGTTCTCAGTAACGGTCAGTGGGTTTCCGCCAAGATCATTGTGGCGCCACGGGAGCTCTTACCAGCTGATCCGGAGGGCGCCCTACCCGTCTTTCATCAAAATGATTGGCAAGCAGTGATGTGCCGTGCGCGGGAAGCCGTGGCGGCGGTACCTGACGGCGGACCTTGTTACTCCGAAAAAGTAAAATCGGCACAGAAAGATATTCGATGGAGTCGCCTAGTAGTAGTCCTTCGGCGACCGTTTCTGACGTGGGACCATCTCGAGGAGCCGTCAATTGGTACCGATAGAGGTAAGGAGAGTGGAGTCCCACCCTCTGTGGTGGCGCTGATGCGCGCTCCAATCCGAAGATCACATGGAAGTGACGACAAGACGATGTCAGCGCCCGGGGCGGTGGTTCAGTTAACACAACATAGCCATATGAGCGATCAGACTCCGTCGGGCGACGCGGTCATCCTGCACTTCACCGCCGACGCGGCGGCGTTATCCCAATCTGAATTACAGGAATTTGTGATGAAAAACTTTTATTTAAAGCGCACGGGTAGTGACGATAACGATGTGGACGCTGGAAACGAAACTCGCTCGGAGTCGCTGCCGCAGTTGCGCTTTGAGGATGACGATATCGTGTTCTCCATATGCTTCACCCTCAGCGCGGTGCACACGGCGTTGGATGGACTTCAGGTGCCCGAGTTACACGCAGCGGTTGACAAGCCCAGTGAGACGCGCCACGCGCATCCTTACGCGGTTGAGGAACGTTTAAAGCTACAGTCCGCAACCGAGAAAGATCGCAAGGGCCTTTTGCGCGAGGTCGAGGCCTCAGAACAGCCACTGGAAGAGGCTATGCCAGTAGACGGAAACGCTACCGCCTGCGAGCACGTGCGCGTTGTGTCGGTACCGACTCTTCTTCCAGGGCTCCTGAATGATAGCCAGTACATGGAAGAGGCAATGGAAGCCTATCAGCAGGTAATGAGTCTGCTTCAAGAGATCGAAGGTGATACACAGACAAAGGACTACATGTTTATGGAAGAACTTCCTGACATTCCAACTTTTTGAAGTTCAATATTAACTAACAATCGTGATAATATTCCATTTCGATTAACTTTTATTGTAAATTCATACCCTTATCTACCCCGATCATGTTAATGCTAGAGTGAGATGAGGATGTCAATCGCAACCATAAAAAAGAAAGTGATGATCTCTCCCCTTTATGTTGTCTTTTCATTGCAGAGGGCACGCACAAGAAATTCAAAATAATCAAATAGATAGTATGATCTCCGATCGCGCCATTGGCTCTATAGGCTTTGTCGTCAGTACAGCCTTCTTCCTCTACTACATCGCCTGGATTGGGATCATGCCCCATGTAGATCGCTCGCACTTCACACAGGATTTCTTCCCGCCATGTGAGTACGGACTCCTGTTAGCGTCTCTGGTTATGGTCAGTGGTATAGGGCTCTCCATAACGCTCGCCTCCGTTCACACAATACTAAGGTCAGGCTACCACTCCTCACTCAGAACCCACGAGCAGATGTAGCGAATACTAAATAGGTTCAATTAAATTTACGAAGGCTAATGCGGTCTGTTGGATAGCGTCCCTTCGCTTTTCCTGTAAGGTCTAGCTGTGTAATTGTATTGGTCGTATGGTGTGAAGTATGGTAATCCATCAATTAATGACTATATATATATATATATATATATATACTA